CGCAATGCCAAAATTTCTTAAAAACTATTAATTTTCTAAAAAAAGTAACGGAAACAATTCTTCTATGTATTATGTTTAAAGTCAAAGTTGTCATTTTCTGTATTTTTCTATTTACTTGAAGAAAATTGCCAATTTTCTTCTTCAGGATATTTTTGACGACCTTTCTTCTCATTTTTCTAATTTTCTTTTCTCATAAAATTGGATAACAATGAATATATTTTTCTTATTTTTTATACCTTCTTCCCTCAACCATCATTACCCTCATTTTTTAAAATTGGCCATCATTTCCATTTTTGTGTTCCTCTATTCGTTAATTGTATGATCCTTTATTTTGTGAAAGAAAATTGTATTATTATAAGTGTTATAATATAATAAAAGAAAGTTTAAGAGGGAAAAATAACTTGGAATATATCGAGAGTTGAGAAATAACATAATTACGGGTATATATTTTTGTTAGAAAATTTTTGAAATTTTTTCACAACAATACTTACCTACTATAATATTAAATTTTTTCCTTAGTTTGTGATTTTTTTGCTATTCTTTGTACAACAATTAACAATTTTCATTATCAGACATAAAATTTAGGACAAGATTTTATTCCAAGGGAAACATCCGTAAATATCATAATATAAGCCCATACCTTATTAGAAGCCAACTCAATGAGGGGTAATGAAAATATAAGCCCAGGGCTTTAGGGTATTTACGGTATACTTTTTAATTATTTTTTTAAATTATAGCAAATTAAACAAAATTAACATAAAATATCTACAATAAGTACATATGTCGAATTTTAATGAAAACATGCAGGAGAAAATCCCATTATCCAATAAGCTTTAAAATTATACATGTGATGAGAATTTAATGCGGGAAAGGATTTTGTACATATGTATTTAATACAAAAAATATATCATTCATTAATTCTTTTATTTTTTCCCCACATTTTGTCCTCACAGTTTGAGGCAATTTTTAATCCTTTGTTTGTTCTCTCAATCAATTGGATTTATTGTCTCCTCTAATTTTTTTCAGTTTGTCTTCTTCCATAATAAATCCCCGTTCATTCCCCCAAAATAACTGACCAATCTCGAGGGTTCTCAATCTAAACAAAATGCTGAAGAGAGGACAAACAATTGAATTTTGCATGTACTAGCACCTATACGGTGTTCATCTTTCCTGACAAAATGCAAAGTGGCACTTTTTTAAAAAAAAATGAATGTATATAGTTGAAAAAAAAGAAAAAAAATTAACAATAACTAATATATTTATTTTAAATTAAAATAATTAATTGCTTATTTTTAACAATTATCTTGTTAATAAATTAGTTAACTTACCCATCTAGTATTGAATAAATTAAGATATTTTATAATATTTACCAAAAAAAATAAAATACTTCCGGTAGGTATATTTAAAAATTTTAAAATAATGATGACAATATATAATTAATTTGTCTGTTGATTAATTAGTAATTTAAGCAAAAATACGTGAAATAAAAGTAAAAATATTTTACTTTTATTACTACCTAAATTAATCTACTAAACATTAATTTATTTTTCCTTTCTACTTAAGGTCAATTTTATGTAAATTATTAATCGGAATCACCTGTTTTTAATGTCATACATATATTCAAGTATTCTAAATATAATTTATCAAAAATAAATTGGCGCGCATGTGTAGTATCTTCCAATATTTCCTTCAGAATTCCATCTTCTTCTTCCATAAATAATATTCAATCAAAACATCCCTTCCCTTCCCCCTCCTCCTCTTCTCAATCATTTTATATAAATTAACCACTCATTTTTCTTCCAACATTTCCCCTCAAATCTTCATTTTATCAAATGTCCACTCTTGTGACAGATGGCGCGATTTTCTTGCACCTTTTACTTCAACATTCTCCTACCTCTCATAAAACGGTGGTAAAAGACCTGGCTAATCCAATAAAACGATTTATATTTTTATTTATTTTCTTCATTTCCTCTTCCATGGTATCCCTTCCTAAATTTTCTTCCCTTCCATTATTCTACGAATTTTACATTTTAATTTCATCAAAATTTAAAAAAAGACAAAAGGATTGAAGATTATATTTAAATATTTTAAAAATTAAAAAAAAGTTTAATTTTTATTTTTTTAAGTGAGTTTCGGTAATATGTAGTTCGGTTTGTACCCTCACTCCTTTTTACTTCCTAAAAGTATTAAAAATGGTCAGTCAGTCTTAGATTATAGAACTCGTCGAGCTGTGTCGATTGACACCAAAATCAACCCCGGCCAAGATACAGACAAAAACACTGCGCAAAGATTTATGACTGACTGACCATTTTTTAATAATTTTAGGAAGGAAAAAGGAGTGGAGGGTACGAACCGAATTATTACCTGAGTTTCTTAATAAATACTTTTAATTACATATTAAAATGAAAAAATCTTTTAAACCATCTAATAATATTGTTATACTTTATAGAATCCTTCGCGCAAAATCTTAGAATAAATTAATTCCTTTTTTACCACATTTTGGCCCGGCCAATGACCAAAATTTTTTATTGGTTATTTATGTTTTTATTTCTCCTTTCCATTCACAAGCTATTTATTAAAAAAGAAACATCTGGCCATTATTTCTATTCTAAATGACGGTAAAAACACCGCAAAAATTGTGAGGTGGTTTAAAAGATTTTTAGAGGAGATAAGGAAATTGTGGAAATTGTAAAATTTATTTAGTGAAAGTTTTGGATTTTTAAAAATTAAAAGGATAAGTATTTATTTATGTCAGTTTACATACTTCTTTAAAAATTCAGAAAAATTTGTATTAATCATATATGTATAATAGTTTTTAGAGCCCACCATTTAAAAATTGCCAGGCCGTATTTTTCCCCTCAGATTTTCCGTGCTAAGCCCGAAAACTCGGAAATCCCGAAAAATCTGAGTTTATCAAAATAGTTCTCGGGTTATTGGGCCCAAGACACTCGGTTCTGAGCTCCCAGCCATGCATCAAACTCTAGTTTAAATTAAATTATTTAATAAAGATATTCTATGTACTATATTGCCGAGCATCTCTTTTTTATTTTTTTAAATCTGCGCATTACAAAATAAGATTGACTGTTTTTACATTCGGCCATATTTTAGCAAGTCTTTTATTTATCTCCTGAAGAATAAGAGTAATTGAAAGGAAAATATAAATAAATTTAGGTAGTATTCGAAGGTTTTGCATAAATTAAAATATTTTTATTTATTTTTTCTTAGTATTTGCCGACAATACATCAATGACCTTAACTGACAAATAAAGCTACACTTTATCCTAAAAATTTTAATAAAAAAGTGAAATATTCCAGAATGTAAATTATAGTAATTTGATAAAAGAATTATAATTTTATTTAGATATTTTTTATAGTTTAATGAACGTTTAAATTTAGATTATATGTACTAGGGATTGTGCCGTCCAAATTTTCCCAAATAGGAAATGAAAATAAATTTTTGTAATCCCAGATTCCCGAATTGTCAATTTATTTTCTATGTCGTCACGATCCTTGATATCTGTTTATTCCTAAAATATTTTTGAATTTCTTTGATTTTTATTTGACATTATCATAGATTTATATTTTATAAGTAGTTTAATTAACTCGTTGACAAGGTTCATTTATTAAAATATATAACATAAATTATCCGAAGCTGCTAACAATTTATTTTTAATATTTAAATTTTAATCAAATCTTCATGTCAAGAAAACGCGGTAAATTAAAGGAAAAAATATGTATGTATTATGTATTATAATTTAAAGTATGGGGAAGGGATGATCTTCGCTTGCTTTTTAAACAAAATCAGAAAAAAGCAACAAAATTTATTTATATATCCATTCATTTGCATGTTTTAAAAAGAGATGTTTTTGTCTATTTAAAAGGCGCCGTTAATCCTTTTTGGGGGAATCAAAAGAATTTTAAATAAAAATAAAGATCAAAAGAATTTACATATGGCCGGTATTTGACCCTTTCAATAGATTAAAGTGGCATAAGGGCAAATGCCAAAAATTCTTATAGGGAGATTAGGAAGGAATGCCACAATTTTGTAGTGTTTTTCTCTTGGATTGACCTAAGAAAAGATTTGAAAGATTTGCAATTCGCGCAAAAAAAGCTTTTAGACATTTCCCGACCTTGAAGTATTTTTAAGGATTTTTTTCTTTTTTATATTTTAAATTTTTTTTCAAAAACAAATATTTAGGAAGAAACTCAAATTAAAAATATATCCATTTTTATCCTTATAGATAATCAATTAATTCCCAAAATCCTTATAAACAGGGGCCTATTTTAATTGTCCACAGATTCTGCATTCTGTACACAGAACACAGATTCTGTGGATGTTTCCACAGAATCTGCGGAATAATTAAGACAGCTTTTCTGTGGTTCTGTGGTCTGTACACAGAATTCTATCCGCAGAATCAGTGGACAATTAAAATGGGCCCCAGATAATTATTTATTTGTTTTTTTTAAATTTCTAGACACGAGATTCATTTAAAATAAAATTTTACTACTAATTTCTTTCCTATTCTTCTTTAAATAAATTCCAAATTTAGTAAATCTATACTTCCTTCCTACCGTTTATTTCCTTTCTTTTCTTAATTTCTTTATAAACTACATACTTTTCACCTCTTCAAAAAAAGTCAAAAAGCTACTAATTTGCTTTTCTCAAATTTTATCCCAAAGGGATTTTCCTGTCCGTGACTGATTTTCACCACTTCCCTTTCTTTCACAAAATTTTCTTTTTTTTTCATTTACCGCTGCTTGATTGGCCCAATTCTTGACAAAAGGATGACACGGGAAGGAGTCTTTTAAAGGAGTCAATTTCTTTTATAAATTGTTCCAAAATTTTCGGTGAAAGGCAGGGACCGGTCGGTATTTCCTGGCGTGACTGACAACCAAAACAAGGAAGGAATAAATTAGAGGAGATATATATAAAATAGGCGGGACCCTAGTCATGCTTGAAAATGTAAAAATAAAGTAAAGGAGAAGACTATCGGTGAATGGTTGATGAGTCTTTTTGCGCTGAAATATCTTCCTTCCTTATTTCTCCTCATTTTAGATTCTTTTCATTCTTCTTCCCTTTTTTTCTTCCTTTTTTATTCTTTTATTCAAAATGTTTAGTAGTTTAAGAATATACTCCTCTATTTTAATGAAGCTCTCATATCTTGTCCTTCCTACAATTTTGAATCATTTCACCAGATGCTGGAACAACTTTCTTTCTTCAAGGCTATTACTCATTGTTTTACTAAAAAGTAGAAACGGTATTTTCATTATTCTTGAGTAAATAAACAGATTGGTATTTCCTGGCATAACAATCAAATTCTGTTAATAAATAAATCAAACACCTCGCAATAGAGTAAACAGTGATAAATTTAATTTATGTTACTTAAATATGTAAATCTAATAATTTTTTAATTTGTAATAAAGTCCTGTTAGCTTTAAAAAATCGTGTGATATATTTCAGTCAGGGACGAGAGACTTGGGAATTAGAAAAATCATTTGGTTGGACTCTGTTTCTAATTAAAATCAAAGCTCATTTGCACCCTCTTATTCACTGAAAAATCTGGAGTTAAAGTTGGATTCGCAGGATTTTCAGGATTCGACTATATTTATATTTTCTGCTCAGATTTTTTATTTAAATATTTTTCTTTAAAATTTAATTATTTAAAATATTTTTAACAAATCTTTTTCAATTAAATTATAATAAATTTCTACCTTTTTTAATATATCCTTGAGGGGATGTAGTCCAGAAATTCCAAATCTTCTCCGATCAACCACCCCAATCTCTCTCTCTTTAATAAATAAATAAATCGCGCGCCCATTCCAAACAACTCACCAGCTGTCCATCTACCCAAATCTTCTTCCTTTTCAATTTTCTTTTATTCATTTTACTTTCACTTGCAAACATTTAATTTATATTTATATCACAACAACCTTTAACGTGTGTACAAATAATATTCCCAAGAAAATTCTTTCGCCCCTTATCGCGCTCCCGCTGATTAAAAGACAACAGGAACAAGGTTTGGGACCGGTCCTTAATAATGCCTATTTCTTTGTTTTATCCAAATATCCTTTGGTTTGTATTTATTTTTATTTATTTTTATATTTCGGTTACTCTTTTTAAATTTAAATTTGTTAATATTAATACTTTCACTATTTCTTAGGTCAAGATATTTTATAAATAAATATGGTGAAATTGTCGAAAGCAGAATAAGTTATGTTTAAATTTAAATTTCTTAGCAAACGCTGACAAAAGCTACCGTATAACCTTCATTAATTGCCCTCCCTCAAATAATTGCCCCACTTCCATTAATTATCCCATACAGCGATAGATTGAGACAATAATTACCCACAACAAATGCCCTAAAACACGTTCAAATTTTAAACCTCGTATAATTACCCTTCCCTCGATTAATTTCTCCCTCCAGCGGAAGGTCGAAACTATAATTACCCAGGGTAGTTATTAAAGGATATACGGTATTTATAATTTTCATTCTTGTTTTACAAATTTTTCGAAACACTTTTTTAATTATATTCACATTTTCGAAATTCGACGTTTTTTGCCTATTTTTAGACTTTTATCCCAAAACACATTCATATTCCATATTGTTTAAAAGATGATTTTTATCTTTTTCTATAAAATACAATTTTAAATATTAGTTACCCAGAAAATATTTTTTTCTGTTTAATAATGCTTTCTTCACAAAATTATTCTTTTTATCAATCCTTATTTCTTCTCATTTTGTATTGGAAAAGGTTGATCAGGTTTTAGGAAAGGGCGAATCTTCTTCACTTTTCTCCTTCTCATCACCTCCTTTTCTTATCCTTTTTTAATAAAATTTGAATGTACTGACAAAATCAGCAGCTGGGGATTTATGTACTTTTATTCAGAGCTTGATATTTGATGGGGAAGAACCTGCCCGGGCAGACAAAGGGTATGTACGAGAAAAGGTAGAAGATAAAATTTGGTGAATGAACCCTTAAATAAATATTTAATTTATTTATTTATATTTTGATGATCATTGTTATAACTACAAATGAATTCTTCTTTCTAAGGTAAATCATTCATATTAACTATTTAACGATAAAAATGGGTATGGAAAAGATTTAACACAGATTTTTCCAACTGCCCCAACCTCTCCTCATTTAATTTCTATTAAATTAACAGCAAACCTTAATTTTCTAGCAGTTTTATTTTATTTCGAATTATTACAATCGAATCCCATTTGTGCGGATACCCTTGGGAATGAAAAAAATGATATCTTACTTTAGAAACTAAAATTGTTCTTTAATCAGAGTGAGTACTATTAAACCCAATTTTGGATCAAAATTGAACTTATTAATGTCTAAAATGTTAAAAATTTCGCTTGCGACGCAGAAAAGGAAGAAATTTGGAGTCTTGGAATTATAGATAAACCTCCGATTTGAGCATTAACTGCGATATCCCTAATTAATCTACCTCTGTAAATTAATATTTACCATTTTATTAAAACTATTTTCTTAATTAAAACCCTACTAAATAGGAATCAAAGAATGTTTTTCATTTCTTCTCCTTTTCCAGTTTCTATTTGAAGGTAAAACAAAAATTATTTGATAGGCAACGAGATTTGGCGAAGAGCCACCGAACCGAATAAAAAAGAAGAAGCATTAAAAAATAAAAGAAGAAAATCAAAAAAAAGATGACCCATGAAAAGAGAACGGGATTTTTACCTCTTTTATTTTAAATGAAAAAAAGTAAATGATTTACACAAGAAGAATCTCTCCCGAATATTTGAACAAAAAATAAAAAGGAAGAAGAACCGATGATTTTAAATATTTTTTAATAAAGCGAGATTAATTAAGAGATGGAAAGGGCAGAAGATAAAGAAAAGCTTTAAATGAAGAAATCTTTTAAAGGAAAAGCTTTAAAAAAAGTTTAGTAGTAATAGAACACGTTTTTCTCTTTTAATTTTTACCTCTTATCTTCTTCTCACATTTTAGAAGTATTTTATTAATAAAAGGACCATTAATATATACCGTATATACTCTATTAATTACCCTGGGTAATTAATGCTTTATGTTTCGACATCTCTCTGTGGAGGGTAATTGATTAAGGCGGGGTAATTAATAGAGGCTATTTTAAGAAGGCTAATTATAACTATTTTGAGGGGGTAATTATTGTTTCAACCTTTCGCTGGAGGGGGCAACTAGTAGAGGCGGGGTAATTATTTTAGAGAGGGTAATTAATAAAGTATATACGGTATATCATTTATTTATGTACTCTTTAAAATATCATCATTTATTTCAATCAGAGATAATTTAATCAGGTCTTACTAGTAGTTGTTCACGGGCGGTAAACCAAACCGAAACCGGGGAGTCAAAACCGGTGATAACTGCAGACCGGTGGTACCGATTAATGACCGGTTATCAACAACCCTTGTTTTTACCTCTAATAATTTTAATTTTATTTTTTCTCAGATCCAATAAAAATATTTTTTGAATAATATTAAATAAAGGGATGAGTCTGTGAAAGGAAAACAATCGAGAGAAGCATTGAAGTATAATTAAATAAAGAATATAAAACCCTTTTATTTTTTCAAAACCGGCTATATTTAGCTGTCAAATATTAGAAATGACTTCTTGTTCCTTTCACCCACCCATCCCCCCTCCTTTCTCTTCGCTTTTTCTAATTACCACCAGAACATTTTTATATATTAAATATCTACCTTTTTTCTAGTTATTTTATGTACACACGTTCCCGTTCACAATTTTCTTTTTTACCTTTATTACTAATTTAGATTTTAATTTATCTTTTTTCGCGTGCCTTTAATTAAATATTAAAAATCAAAAATCTTTTCAAACATCCTTTAAATCCTGCTTTTATTTTCTTAATTTTCTAACTAATTAATTTAAAAATTGGAAGGAACTCGCTACAGGTAATTTAATTAAAAATTTAGGCAAATTATTTCTTGTTAATCCTCTAAGCATTTATTTTGTTGATTTTCAACCTTAATTTCTATTTAAATATATTTTTCCAGTTAAAATTTTAAAAATTTTTTCGACGCCTTCCTTCCAGACTTCCCCTCATTTATATATTTGACCGGTCATTTATCCAAAATAAGATTGATTTGTTTGTTACCAGTCGTTTCTAAAACGATGTGTTTAGATGAGAAAAAGATGTGAAGGAAAGCGCAGGCTAAAAGGGGGGAAAGGGTTATGGCCAGAGGCGGATGATGGAGAGCCGAAGCAATAGGAGGATTTTAGATTTTACCTAAGCTAGTATACATAAACTAACATAGGAAAAAGGAAAGAAAGCGCAAAGCCAAATTTTTCAGCGAAGCTACAAAGATTCTCAATTTTTATTTAAATCTTCCAACTTTTTTCACTAAAATATTTTTTTAATAGTTGCCATTAGACATGTGCATGGACACGGATATGGATACAGATAATATCATGATGCCTACGGATATCCGTCAATATCCGCCGTATATATCCGGATACGGATACCAAACTTCGTGTCCATGCACAGTTCATTAAGGGTTGTATTTTAGGCAGAAATTAACAATAGAGGGTCAAAAAAGCTTAAAAAATAGTCAGAAGTCTCTTACATTTACCTGCCTTGATTTCGTCCTCCCTTCTCAATAATAACAACCATCTTTATCTTCACAGATTTAAAACCTATATCTTCACAGATTTATCTTCACAGATTTAAAACCCCAAAATATATTAAAAATGTTCAAAGCTCAAAATCTTTATTTAATTTAAAGCTGTCAATTGTTTTTGTTTATATTTGCTGATTTATTGTTTTTTTGTTGACAATAAAAAAAGTTTTTAAACTATTTAACTTAAAATCTTCATTAATTTTTATTTGACTCTTATTGTTTTTAATTCTTGGTCTCTTAACTTTAAAAATATTTTCTCTCCTTTTTAAACACCGTATACTTCCCTCCATTATTTACTTTTTTCCTCATTCGCTCTTTATTTCTAATTTCCACACCTGTCCCCAACCCCAACACCTTATTTTCTCTTTTTCCTCACAAATAAATAAGTTCCACCTGTGCTCAACTACCATAGCTTTATAATATGGCCAATAGTCTCCTCTTTTCAATAAATATTCACCTTATTCCCGCTTTTAAAGAAACGGCCATAAAAATGAAAGAAATAAATACGGGCAGTTAAAAACTTTTCCAGAAAGTAATCTTTTCAATAAGGAACATAATAAAGTTCGCAAACAAAAAGTCGGGAATGAATATAAGAAAAAAAGAAAAATGAAAGTAAAAATGGCAGAAAAGTATTCCAGAAAAA